TGCGCACCAGGGTTGCTTTCGCGTCGAATAAAGATTCGTTTTTTAATTAGTTCCAGAGATTCCTGAAGCTGCATCACAAAATTGGAAAAGTGACCTAAGTTTTGATTTCCGGTAGCTTGGTTTGCTAGGATGTGGCTGGAAAGTGTGCTGAAAATCGAAGGGTTCATTTCCTATTACAATAATTTTGACGCCGTGTAAATTTCAGAAGGAACTTCCGATAAACATTGACACAAGTAAAAAAAAAAAATTTGGAGGAGCAGTTCTAGAACAAAGGTGCTTTTTCAATTTTTCTTGATCAAACCTCTAAAACTAGCAAGAAATGTGAGCCAAGTCTTGATGTGGTTTCTTTGCGGCACTTTCGAAGTATTAAACGGAATGCACTTGGTATGCTATAGATAACAATCAACAGCTTGTCCCTCTCAGCTTTGATGCAAAAAAATTTGACAAAGTTTCGTAATTATTTGATCTGCGAGATGAACGAAAATAGATTTGAGCCCACTTTCGATGAGAAATATAAAGCGCTTAGCGTCTGTGGCTTTTCTTTAAGCATTTTAACGAAGGCTTCTTTCATGACGAAGTCCGTGCAATACTTCTCCAATAATTCGGACAGGAGGCGTAAAAGATAGGGCACAGAGTGCACAGGCACCAACAATAAACCTGTCACGTAATTTGGCAATACTTCTCGAATATATGCAACCGGGAGCACGCGTTCAATTAACTGAAACAGTTGCTTGGACAGTACACGAAAACTCGCCGCAGGAAAAACACAGGAATGAAAAGTGCTATTTTGAACCCCCCTCGTATAAGAAGAGGCGATGAGCAACAAAATTTGGTGAATTTGAACCCTCGGTCTGTCAACTCAGAAGGCAAAAACAGTGAATGCCGTACGGCAGTGACGGTTGTAAAAGTCGTTAAATTTGCTTTTGTTTAAACACAATGCACTTCTATTGCGTATTCGTTGCAGAGTCCAGAAGCATCGAACTTCTGATCTTGTTTCTGTTTACTTGTCTGGAAATAAACGTTCCGATGCATTAAAACAACTTACCACGTTCTGTAGGAGGAGTCTGCAGAACCGTACGAACGGTGAACGATTAAAACAGCACTCGGATGGAGGCTTGAAGAGTTGCTGTGCAGCGTAGCAGAAGGGATAGGAAGCAATCTTTGCGCAGTGCATTGCAGTAGCCTCGTCCGCCCTCACCAATTTGTACTGCAGCACTGGCACCAGTAGTTCACACCATCTCGTAATGCTATCACTGATCATCCTATGGTTCGACGCGTTTTTTGACATCGTCTACAAAAATATGCGCAAAATTAACAGGCCAGCGCCTCAAGCAGCGTTGCGCTCAGAAGTGGTAAAACGCCTAGGCGTTTAAAACAACAACCGCTCATCTCACTTACAAGAATAATCTATCAATAAGCCGCTTAACGCTTAAACGCAAGAAGCATATAAATGAGCCTTTCTCTAACTCATCTAGCA